GATCTATATTGCAGCAGTTTGTGAAAGCAAACAGGCTATTTCCTATTCCCATGGCTCTCAGCATGGCAAGGTGCAATTACAGTTGCCTACTGTGTACCTCAGGATAGTTACAAGTATGTCCATTATTGATCCCAATGTAATTTGCATTGGCACAGAAAATGATTTGATTAATAATGGCTCTATAAGACCCAAAGATATTCATATGCAGATTTGGGGGATAATTTCATGGTATTCAATGTCTGAAAAAGTAAATGGGAAATGGGAAATCAGTACCTTGTAGGATCTGGAAGCTTATTTGCAAACTTAGTGTATGTGGAAGCACAGTGTGGAGAAATAAAGGATTTAGTCTGATTTCAGGTACAATCAAATGGTATCCAGGTAAAATTCATTTCCCAATGCCATGTACTCAAAGACACAAAGTAGTTTACATTGGCCATGTCTACATGAGATGTTTACTGCAGAGCTACTTAATTAGCTCTGCAGTAAAGTCTCAGCATCTATACATGCAGCCCTATAAGGCCACAGTAAACTAATAAATGCTGCCATAGGATAGTATTTATAAACACAAGTACTATTCTATGGTGACATTATTTAGTGTGCTGCAACACATGTGGGGCTGGCTGGGGCATGAAGGTGCTTCAGTGTGGGAGCTGCCAGCCAGCTAGCCCCACATTGGAGCAACCTCATGCCTCGGCCAGCCACTCCACAGCATGGTGAGCCAGGTCAGAGCAGCCCTGGGCCAGTAGACTGACCCCTAGGGCCCTCAAGCAGCTGGGCTACTCTGGGTTGGCTCACTATGCTGTGGTTCCAGGCGCAAGTGTGAAGAAGGGGGGTGGCCGGGAACAATAAACTCTGATGCAAACTGCACTGGAGTTTATTGTGTCACAGGAATTGCATGTGTAGATGTGCCCATTGAGCCTTAACAAATATTAGAATCCAGATCTAGCTAATTCATCATATAAATTTATAAGACCCATTTTGCAGACTGAGGGTAACTATAACTAGCTTTCCTCCCTAGTGATTTAAATTAAGGCTACAAGCAGTTTAGCTCTACCAGTAATAGGGTAGTCTCTATTTTACAACTCTATAGAAAGAAAAACAAAGCAGGTGCCATTGTGCAAAGGATACTACTTAATCTGTAAACACCTTGGATGCTTGTATAAGACATTGATCCAAAAAACAGCTATATCAGAAACAATATGGAAAAACAGCTGTACTGGAAACAGAATTTTAAAACTACACAGAAAACAAATCAGTCCTATGAAACCTGAACCCTGACTCTGCTCCTAGTAAAGAGATTGGGAATTTTTCCATTTATTTAAATTGAAACTGAATCTGATCCATGATAACACAACAGAGGATAAGCATGCTTCACTTGTACACATCGCTTAGAACTCACAGGCTCAGACTCAAAGATAAAATGTATACTCCAGACAGGATTCCTAGGGATAATGGCCGGCCTGTATATGGGAGCCCCAGAACTGCAGTGAATGTTATAAGTCAGAACTAAGGCACATAAGAATGAAAGAGGGGACCAGAAAATTGAATGCAACGGGTCAAGAGAGAGGAATTCTGCCAGAACATTGAGGGTGGGCAGGATGTCTCTATAGAGGTATCTATCTATCCATTTGAGACTTGATTTGGGCCAAAGCAATTAGTTTCTCCCTTCCACGAACACTGAATTCTCACATAAGGTTTTCTAAGAAAACAAATGTATTTTTAAAATTACACTATATATAAAGTTCAAACAGGAGCAGGAAGATCATTAAACAAAACAGAGTAGTCTATGAAATGGCTCCTTTTTAAACTGCTATGGTAACTTCAGCCTGCTATAACACACACTATAATAATTACCCAGTGTTATTTTAGCAGCAATACTTTCAAAATATTATGTAAAGGGAGAACATAAAATAAATGCACAGGACAAAAGATGCATTTACATCTTGACTAATCTTGCACTTCTGAAAGTAATTAAAGAAAAACCAACAGCTGTTAGTTAAAGTTAACAACTCTGAGGACTTTTGGAGGGAATTCAAGAAAATACTCACTTATAAATGGCTTTCCATTACAGATGATATGAAGCTGCCTAATTCTCTAGCTGTCTGTCTGGACATTCCGTGACTAAATTAGGGGTGTGCCATAGCTCTTACCTGCTTTAAAGAAACATGGTAAGGAAACCCTATGGCACTAGAAAGCCATTTTTAATAACATTAACAGAAACTGTTCCCTCCATTTTACAAACGGGGAATTTGGGCGTAGAGAATTTACATGCTTGGTCCAAGGCTGCACTGTGAATTGCTGTCACAGCTGAGATAAACACTCTGGGTCTCACTGCTCCTAATCCTATGCTCATTTTCCTTTAGTATCTGCTGGAGATAACTCAGGCAAATAAGGCTGCATGTTGTACAGATCCCTTGTGCTTCCCCTCTACATGGCTAGAGACAGACATTCAAAAAGCCTGAGCCTGAATTGATTCAACCTTTGCAGGTTAGTCTAACCTGGCTAAACTGAACCGGTTTCCAACCATACAGACAATCGCTCTGGATTGAGGAAATTCAGGCACATGCCTGCAGTGACTCAGGCAGTGACTCAGGCTGGAAGCCGGGGGGGCACTACAGCAGCCCTCCCTACTCTTCCACAGAGCTAGACTGGGGTGGGGGAAGGCCCCAGCAGAGCTCTGATTAGGGAGGGGTGTGAACCCCCCACCCTGCCTGCAGTCTCAGGCTTTTTCCTGCTTCCTGCTCAAGGGGCAGGGGTGTTGCCAGCCTGTAGCCCTGGCCTAGCACTCTGAGGCAAGGAGGGGATGTTGATGATACAGAACTTACTCTCTCTCCCCGTTTCTGTATACTGTCTGCAGCAAACTGACAGGCAAGCAAGCTGTGGGGGGAGCGGATAACAGTGTTTATCACTCTTATCTCAGTGTTTATTGTCCCATTAAGAGAACAACACAGAGACATTACCAGCTATCTGTTTATTCAGCACAGACCCACCATGTGGTTTGCTGGCTAACACACAGACACCTCAGCAAAGGCAGAGGGGAAGGGGGAATTTGTGCTTAACAGAGTGGTGAGTGGGAGGGAGGGGAGCAAACAGCTCTTCTCAAATATTTCCAAAGAAGGATATTAAGCTACTTGTTGATTAGCTCCAAAAAACTGTCTGCCTTTATCTCTCCCACAGCATGGACTGTAGCCAGCATGTGGTCTGCTAGCTAATCTGGAAACCTTTGCTAAAGCAGAGGGATGGCTGGTGATAATCCCTGTTTAGCACGGAGAAGCCAGGCAGACACAGAGGGGAGGGGCTAGCCCTGATGTGGAGCAGAGAGCCCCACCCAGCCCAGAGAACATGCTGGGATGCTGGGGGTGTCTGCTTTATCTTAAACCAGCAAGGGGTCTGTGACAGACGTTGCATAAATCGGTTTGAGCCAAATCAGTTAACTCTGATACTACATTCAACCAGGTTTATCTCAAACCATTTTCAGCCATTTTCAAACTGGTTTATGTGCACTGAACATCTGTGCTATTACAGGTTTAAACCAGTTTCCGATCATTTAACTGGTAACGTGTAATGTCTCTTCCTAGCCCATAGGCTGCAGGCTCCCCAGGCTCTGCGGGCTGTGCTGTTCCACCCTCTGGGACAGGAGTGGGAAGCAGAAGTTGAAGGAGGAAGCTAAAGTCTGGAGGTCCTAGCTGCAGCAGAAGTAATGTGGGGAGGGAAACCCAGGTGGGAAATTACTGCTCAAGAGCCACTGGTGGACAGTCCTGATTTTGAATGTAAATAGCTCTCAGAGAACATACATTACAATATTTTCCATTTATTCTAAGCTTTGCATTACATTACTTTCTGTGGAAAGAGAAATTATTTTTGTGTCAGGAACCAAAATTCCCAAGAGGACCCTCTTTCTAATTAATATTTCTTGGGACTCAATAATGACCAGTCAGGTTCCCAAATTGAAGCAACTTGAAAGCAACAGCAGAAAATAACCTCGGGTTTTCCATCAAACTTTTTGTTCCCTGTCCCTGTGCCCACTTGATGGAAGCAGTGTAAGTCTGACTGACTATATCACTAGACATTGCACTAGGACTAGACATTGTACTGAAGAATATATTGGATGGAGCAATCCTGCAATGGCCAAGGTGGTGAAGGTGGATTAGATGGACACAGAGATCTTTTCTATTCCTAGTTTCTTGGAAAGTTAACCACAGCTCCATCTTGTGGTTCGCTTCCTCACCTCCAAGCAGCATGTGAAAGGCCTGGAGTGCTTGGAGATGACAGCTCTATTTTCTACTTAGAAAATGTACTGTCTAGAAACACTGTTATTAAACAGGCATCTTTATTAAACAAAAAAAGAACTGTGGAATGGAAGTTGAAGGGCTGGGGAAGGTAGGGCCTTGATATGTTACCTGCAACATTATGAACTGTATTCCAAATGAAGGAAGCTCTGTTATGGAAGCAGTGTGGCTTAGAGCAACAGTGGTCAAGGACTTGGGAAACATTGGTTATGTTCATGGGTCATCTTTAGAAAAATCAGCATACCCAAAGGAAGGATATTATTGTTGAAATAGGAAAATGACTATATAAACAAAGCAGGTATTTAAATATTTCCTCTAACTATATAAAGGAAAAGTACAAGGGAAAAGAGGAAGAGGGACTGACTATACATCCCAAATGTGAAAAGCTGAAAAGCAGAAAGAAAGGAGCAGGAAAAAGAGTGTATACAAAAGATGAAATGTGCAGGACATAGCATCCAGAGAATCTTGCTTGCAAAAGGAAAAAAAAAAAAACCAGGAAAAAAAATGAAGTGAGGAAATTAAAAAAATAAATGTAAGGAAAAAATGCATAGCCATGAAAGAGAGGTTGGAAAAGAATACAGCTGAAAAGTGGTGTCAGCGATAGAAGAAATACAGAAGAAATTAAAGGTTTAGTACAAAGAGGGGGAAAATAATTTGTAAGTTATTCTGTATTTTACTTGGGGAAATAAGCTTGATTTTCACTGTACTTACATATGAGTGACTTTACTTAAACTGTAGAAGGAATGGGCCTCCAACCTGTGAAGTGTTGCATCTATGGAGATATAGCTAAACATCAGAAAAACAGAAAGAGAAACAAGTCATATGGCTATGCAGGTGTTATGCCGTAACAACTAAAGCTCATTGTCTTTTTCTTTATTGTTTCTTCCCTTTTGCTCAGCTCACAGGTTTTTTATTCCCCCTTGTTTTGTTTATTTTTACTTGTAATCTATACTGTATTTCTGCAGTATCTTGCACGATGAGTCCCCAATCCTGATCGGGCCTCTCACTTGCATATGAAACAAAACCTAAGAGTAGAGGTAAAGCAGAGAGATACTAAAAATATCAGGAAAGTAGCAAGAGTTAACATTGATGAGGGCACTAAATTCTACTTCAGCTTTCACTCCCTCATTCACACACAGCAGATCTCAGAGGATAAGAAAAGAATCCTCTTGAGAGTTCTGGCACACACTTAAACCAAGCATTTTTTGCAGGTCTGGCGGAAAAACAAATAAGAGGGAAAAAAAGACAGTCTATTGACTGTGCCTGTAATAAATCCTCTACACATGGAAAGCCAGATTGTAAAGGCAGTCCCTTTCAGAGCAGTATTGAGAGTAAATAACTTCCTTGTATAAATTTAAAGAGAAATGCTTTGGTTTCCATTTTTTGTGCCCAATAACATGATAAAAGTAAATGAGGTCTGGCAGCAGAGTACCAAACCAGGAGCACGAATTCCTGAATTTTGTTCTTATTTCTGCAGCTGCAGACATTATACTTAAGACATGATTAAATGGTTAATCATGTGTTAACATGTAAATTGGCCACATGTTCAGAGGATTAATGGCCCAATGAAACAGGAAACCAACTACAAAGTTATTACACAACATATGTGGAATAACTTTGTAGATGGTTTCCATTGCACCTGAAATTGAACCATGAGGCAGGGACCACCTCAGGGCTTGAGCCCAGGAGCAGTCCCAACTGACTGACCATCAGCTGACAGGCCACCTGATGTCAGATTGGGAGGTCCCCGGAGCTGGAGCCCTGGGGCTGTCCCTGCCAACCGACAATCAGATGACTGGGACCTCTCTAGGACTGAACCCTTGATCATTGTCTGGCAGGGATCAGCCAGGGCTCAAGCTCTGAGGCAGTCCCTGCTAGGTGATGGCAGATTAGGATGGCCATGGAGTTCAAATCCCCGTGGCTGTCCCAATCAGCTGATTGTCAGCTGGCAAGGACTACCCCGGGCTCAAATACCTGGGGTACAAGCCCTGGGTCTGTTCCACTCTGCAATCAGCTGGCAGGGACAGCCCCAGGGTTCTAACCTCAGGGCTGTCCTCATCAGCTGATGGCAGACTGGAACAGCCCTGGGGCATCCCTGCCAATTGACTGCAGATTGGGACTGTGCTGGGGCTTAAGCCCGGAGGACAGTCCTGATCCTGCTAACAATCCACTGATTGCCAGCTGGCTCTGGGGACCACACAGGGATTCCAACTGGCCCTGTGGGTTCCCAGAGCCAGCCAGTGTTGGGGGAGCCCAGGATCACAATCCCTGCACTGGCAATATATTGCAATTTGGATCTGATCCCCAATCCAACAATTGCTTCTCCTGTCATGCACATGTGACCTGCCAGAAGGTATAATTGTTGGAACTGAGGATCAGATACCATTATGCCTTCAAGTGAGCATCTGTCAGGGGCCTTAGACAAATAACTTTCTCTGCCTGTCTCCATCTCACCCTCTGCAAGGCTCTAACTACATAGTAAATGTATGAATAAAACTGCAACATAAGAATTAGGCAGACAAAGTTCTTTGGGTCAATCTGATATCTTTTATTAGACCAACTCAAATAGTTGGAAAAATTCTTCTTTGCAAGATTTCGGGTATAAATACCCTACGTCAGGCTGAGGAAGCACCTTTAGGTTGTCTATGCTCTTCCTGGATGGATTGAATAGTAAAGAAGCTGTAGGCTAGTATGCATGCAAAAAAGCCAGTCAGTGACAATGTAAATTGTGGGGTCAATGGATGAAAGACAGTGAAAGACAGGTTGGCGGGGAGGGGGGGAATTAACGTAGCTGGTAAATAGTGAAGAGGTACATGGGAAGTCAGATGTTAGGCAGGTTATGATGTGTCATAAATCCATGTAGGAGAAACCAAACAACATAAATCTATGTAGGAGAAATCAAAAAACAACTGCTTACCAGAACAAATGCACACTAAAAATCTATCAAAGACAAAAATACTCAATTGCCCCAGGTGCACACTTCTCACAAGACAACCACTCTCTCCAATCTCTCAGTTCTAATCCTCAAAGGGAATTTACAAAACATTTTTTGTAGATGAGCCTATGAACTTCACTTCATAAATCTACTGGATACAAAAAAAACATGGACTAAATATAGACATTGGATTTATGGCACATTATAACCTGCCTGCCATCTGATAACCCCAGGTAAGCTGTCTGCATTTTACCAGCTACATTCTGTCAACAGTTCAACACTCCCCCTTTTCCCCCCTCACCTACCTGTCTCACACCTATCGTCTCCCATTCCCTCTAATCCTCACTGCCACGCATCTGCATTTTTACAGACCTGCATTTTGCATTTTGGCTTCTGTTCCACCCAGGAGAGTACACAAAACACCAGCAGACTCTCTCTATGCCTGAAGAACAGATTTTGTGCCCAAAAACTTGCAAAGAACAATTTTTCCAACTATTTCATTGGTCTAATAAAAGATATCACATCTAACCAAAGAACCTTGTTTGCCTATGCCCTTAGACCAACACAACTACAACCAACAACCCTAGATTATTATGGGACATTTAATCTGGGGTGGGGAAGTAATAGCCATAATATCCACAATACACAGATATTTCTCTGGAGAAGCTAATTGGGTTATATAACTAGCACATTTGGTTGAATGTTGGCTAGTAAGCCTTTAAGCAATGAATGCCAGATCCTGGGCTGAGGATTATTTAGGGAGTTTGGAGGCCAAGTATGTGTGTATAACTATACTTTTTTGTGATTTCTTAGTTGGTCTAATAAAAGGTATTGTCTCTGAATCAAGCGTTCTAGAGGTTTGTTCCAAGTTATACAAATGACTTACAATACATCTTAGTATCCTCCTGATGCTTGTGCAGGCTAGTTTCCAGTGTGCTCAGCTGGAACAACCTGAAAGGATCTTTAAGGCCCCTGGCAGATATTACATTTGAAGTGCGATTATTTTAATTGAGCAATACATTGTAACATGCCACACCTTCAAGCAATTTAAGCCTGATAACAAGCAACAAAAATGGTGAGCAAGACACAAAGATGTTACTTGTTAAACGTAGAATATCTTTGCAGGTCATTTGTATCGTGCTTTAATTTGAACATGTGGCATGTTACACGTAGACTGATGCAAAAACCTAGAACTGTTGCTTCAGAAATGATACCTTTTATTAGACCAATTGAGAAATTGTAAAAAAAATATATCTTTTTGTGCAAAAAAGATTTTTTTTGCATTTTTTTTTTTTTTTGCAATTTCTCAGTTGGTCTAATAAAAGGTATCATTTCTGAACCAAGAGTTCTAGATTTTTTCATTTCTTTTGTCTCTGACCAACACGGCTACCAAATACATTCCTGAAACATAGAATGAGAGTGTTTGGCTACATCCTCCAGCATCCCAGGGTGGACTGTTCTCTTCCCCCCACTCCTTCCTGCAAGAGGACTACCTCTTCCCTGTGCTAGGCACAGCGAATGCTATGTTGGGTAGAGAGGAAAAAGCACATACACAAAAGCACCTCATAAGGTGCTTGGGAGAGTTTGATCTCTGTTGCTACTGCTCTCCCTGACCCTTAGCACTGGAAGAGCTCTGTGCAAGGGTCAGAAGAGCAGGTCCTTCACCCAGGGGGAGCTCAACTAGTGAGGTCAGAGCTCACTTTTCATTAGCTGCGTAGCCCTTGCCAGCAGCTCTTTAGTTCCCCTTGCTGGTGAATGTTGGCAGAACAAGTACCCATGGTGCTTTTTCCTCTCAGGATAGCTTGTCCTGTGAATTTAAAACAAGTCACACATAGCAACAGTTTCTATACCAAGCAGTATGGCCTGTAGTCTGATGGCAATAATATCTGTCTGGGGCTAAATTATAACATGCCATGTGTGCAAGCAATTTATGGTGGGATAAAATGTCAAACCAACTACAAAGATGTTTCCCAACTTTGTGCCTGGTTTGTATCCTGCTTTAAACTGAATACATGGCATCTGTCCCTCCCCGACTGTATTATATTAAGGTCTCCCAGGGGCCTAATTTACACAGATTGCAAATAGGTCCAGGAAGCTGGAAAACAGCTCAAAGTCAGCTTAGTAATAGAAAGAAGTGTTGTTATGATGGGTGGAACTACCTTTTAAAAGCAAGCTGTAAAGATAAACAATGCCATAAACTCATGCATTTACTATTATTACAGTATATACTTGAATCTAAGATTAAATTATTTTCCCCATTCAACATGGAAAAAACAACAACTGGGGACTGGGGTTGGAGTTAGAGCCTCAGCCCCTGCCCTCCCCCCCTCCCCCTGCCCACCATCTGTACACTACTTTCTACTCCTCCTGGTCTTTGCTCCAGGCACTACTTAACTTCCCTTTCCAGCTCCAGCTCCCCACCAGCTAGGGGGAGGAAGCACAGAGTATGTGTTGCCTGACCCCAGCCTGGCCATACAGCAGCAGTGGCAGCTCTCATCCTGGCTCCAGACCATGGTGTGTGCAGGCAGTAGGGTGGAGGGAGGGGCAGACAGCAAGAGAAGAGGTCCAGCTACTTGACTCCTCTGCTGATTTCCCCCTTTGCTGCTGCTTGCCCTGCTGCAGTGGTTGTGGGGATGAATTTAAGAAACTCTTCAAAAATGAAATCTAGACATGGAAAATTATAGCAAATTTATAAATTTTACATGTCAAGAGTCTAATTATTGGGGGGTCATCTTAAATTCAGGGTCATCTTGGATTCAGGCAAAGATGACAATTGGTAATGGCTGATATGTTTAACCATCAGCAGTGCAGGTTAAAAGTCATAGAAAGCCTTGACTGCAACTCTTTCACTATAAATTGCAGTCTAATGTGGGCACAGATTTGTGTTTTATGGACTCTTTAATGTGCAAAGAAAGAGTATAGTCCTCACCCTTAATTACTAATACAGCAGTCTTATATAACTACAGCTTTTGCAGCTTGATAGGTTGAGAGACTGTTACACATGAGGAGAGTTTTGGGGTGAGGTAAAGAAATTATGACTCTTTTGACCATTTTAGTAAAATGTAAATAATCTAAAACTTACATTCTGGAGATATTGGGGAGATCGGAAAATGCTTCACTTGGAATTGTTCTTAGATGAGTCTCCATAAGTCTCCTACAGAAAAAGTTTGTCAGTTAATATTCTTCAATAAGAATTGCACTTTAACATAAATTCAACCTGAGTGGAGTAGAGATGTGAAGAAAAGCTGTTATCTGAATGTAGTTACTTGGAGAAATGACAACAATTTTTAAAAGACCTTTCAAATGCAGATGAAAGGTGTGGAATTCAGTTTGGTTAAACACTTTTACACCAGGTTGTATGCTTTTTCTTTGCTCGGTGTTTGAAAAAAAAAATAACCAAGAGCTGGAAGTTAAGACAAGCAGTATAAAAACCATGTTATTGTGTAGGGGTAAATTACAAGTCTCTTTTGTTAAACAAGGTTTCTTGGCAGGATTAAACCTACATGAGGAGAGTGTACTGAATATCTGGCAGACCATAAAAAACCATCAAGATGTTTTATTCTTGCATTTTACAGTAAAGTGTTCTCAGAAAAATCGAATCAAATTAGAATTAAGAACAAAAAACTACAAAGAAAGAGCCTTCTCTTCCTTCTTGGCTTTCTGCTTACAGGATTTCAGTTTTCCACAGTATGAAAACTAAACTTTTATTTGCCTATTGTACTATATGCAACATGGAGTAGACTCCATAAGTTTCTCCAAAAACCTGTGTGTGTGTGTGTGTGTGTGTGTGTGTGTGGAGAGACAGAGAGAATAAGCAATTTAAATCATTAATAGAGCCTATAGCTAGCAGCATAGGGAAACATATTTGACTTCTTCCAGCACTGGAACACAAGGTCACAAAGCCAGCACCAATGCAAGAGTTTTTCTGAAGTAAGACATTCTATTAAATTTACAGTTGCAAAATACTAGTGTAAATGGGGCATTTTCAAATGCACTGGGGAATACTTGCGTAGTAGGCAACCAGAAAACAACTTCAAATATAATTTAGAACATAGCTCACACAACTTTCCCCACATATCCTATTTACCTTTTTTAAAACAACTTACCTGCAAAGAGCTGGGCAAATAAAACTGAATGTTAATTGCTTAGTGCTTTCTGTTCTGTGTAACTGAAATCCCCTACAAATATTTGATTTATACAAACTAATAAGATAGTTTTTAAAAGTATCCTGAAAAGTTCCTCATGGTCATGCATCTGCTTCCATGAAGGAATGCACAGCATAGTAAAGACTGGCACTCTTCTATCAGAGCCCTCCCCACACCTGCTACAGAGTAAAGCAAGGTTGTGTTCTTAGACAAATTTTGTTCACTCTGTTCTATGCAGCATGTTTGAGGAAAGTGATTAGGGACTTCCAGTGATGATCAAGTTAATATTGATGAGGAAGTTGTATCCCTCAGCCTAAGAGCAAATGCAGCCTTTGACAATCTGAAAAAGTGAGACTAGAAATAATGAGGAATAAGGTCTCCAACAAAGACTAAGGTTAATAAAGGTTAAGGTTGATAAAGCTGTAGTGGTCACTATGTGGTTCTTTATGAGGGTGAAACTTAGACATTCTATAGGTGATGCATCACATAGCTGGACAAAATCCACTTATGTTTCTTGCTTTTGCTGAATTAGGTGGTTACACTGAGTTTCTGAAACCAGTTATTACAGTACTAAAGCGCTAATAATGAAGATACAGGTCTATTGAGCTGGATATTATGCATAAATAAGTGATGAATACATGCCTAAGGACATGCTGTAAGGAAAGCTTGAAAGCAGTCAACGAAAGTGAGACTAGTCAAAAAAGATGTCTTGAAGACCTACTGAAGCGTCATCTTATTTGGAATAGACATGGCATGCAAGGATCAAGGCCTCTTGAGCAATGATGCTTAATTTATGCAAGAGGTATGCACTGGACTTAAACAGCAGCATCAGAAATCACAGGTGACATCAGCCACAGGATCACACAAGGCAATGCAAGGACTGTGGTCAGATTTTTATTTATTTTTTACTAATTGCCTTGTCAGATGTATGGATTCTGTGAGTCTTGGTCTTGTTAAGATTTCTCAGTGAATAGCTCTGTAGAGTGAGGTGGCTAAATTGTTTGGCCTTAGACTCTGGGATGAAACTTTGGGACTTTTGAACAGCATCTCAGGCCCTTTCAGAAGAGATCTCAGCAAAACTCAAATGTCCAAAAACTAGGAAATGTTAAGGTACATGCCCCAACAACTTTATTCTGCTCCTCTGGAGATGACAGCAGACCAGGTAGTGGGCAGTAGGCAACAGTAGGTCACGCCAGACTGATGGGGATCCAGGAATCTGACAGTATCCAGATACACCTGGAGCTGTCAAGTGACCAGCTATTTGACTTTCCTGAAAAAGGGATGTTTGGAGGCATGGCAGTAGCTGGGTCACAGTCAAGAGATTTTATAGACATTAGGGCTGGAAGGGACCCCAGAGGATCATCAAGTCCAGCCCCCTGCACGGGGGCAGGAAGTCAGCTGGAGTCATAGGATCCCAGCAAGATAAGCATCCAAATGTCTACTGAAGGTGTTCAAAGTGGGTGCTTAAACCACCTCCGGCGGAAGTCTGTTCAAAACCTTGGGGGCTCAGACAGTAAAAAAGTTCTTCCTTATGTCCAGCCTGAAACGGTCGCAGAGGAGTTTGTGACCATTCGATCTTGTCATCCCTTGGGGTGCTCTGGTGAACACCCCTAATAAAAACTTATAGGTGGCCACCAGATTGCCCCTGAGCCTGCACTTTTTCAGGCTTAAGAGTCCCATGGCTCTCAGCCTCTCATCATAAGGTCTCTTTTCCTGACCTCTGATCACACACATGGCTCTCCTCTGCACCCTCTCAAGCTTCTCCACATCCTTTTTGAATTGTGGAGCCCAAAACTGGATGCAGTATTCCAGCTGTGGCCTCACCAAGGCCGAGTACAACGGGAAAATGACGTCCTGGGATTTGCTTGAGAAGCATCTATGGATGCAAGTCAGCATTTTGCTCGCTTTATCAGCCGCAGCATCACATTGAAGGCTCACGTTCATCTTGTGGTCAATCATGACTCCCAAGTCCCTTTCATTTGTGGTGCTAGTCAGTGTAGCACTGCCAAGCCTATAAGCATGCTGCAGGTTTTTCCTCCCAAGGTGGAGAACCGTGCATTTTTCGGTGTTGAACACCATCAGGGTCTCATCCACCCATTTTCTGAGCCTGTCAAGATCTGCCTGGATCACCCTCCTATCCTCAGGTGTGGATGCTTTACCCCAAAGTTTGGTGTCATCAGCAAACTTGGCCAGCTCGCTTCTGACACCAATTTCCACATCATTGATGAAGATGTTAAACAGTATAGGCCCTAGGAAAGAGCCTTGATGGACCCCACTGGTGACTGCGCACCAAGACAATTGGCTTCCATCAACCACCACCCTCTGGGTCCTACTGTGGAGCCAATTCCCCAGCCAGCGAATCATGGTGAGGTCAAGGCCACAGTTAGCCAGTTTTGAGAAGAGGTGATCATGGGATACCAGATCGAGGGCTTTTTTGAAGTCAAGATATACAACATCAATCTCTTCCCCCTTGTCTAGGTGATAGGTCACCTAGTCATAAAAGAAAATGAGATTGGTCAAGCAAGACCTACCCGCAACAAACCCATGCTGGGTATCCCCCAGGATATTGCTGTCAGCTAGTCTGTTAAGGATGGCCTCTTTGATAATCTTTTCCAAGACCTTCCCCAAGATAGAGGTCAGGCTGATGGGCCTGTAGTTTGCTGGATCTACTTTCCTCCCTTTCTTGAAGATAGGCACGATATTGGACTTCTTCCAATCTTTGGGCACTTCACCAGAACACCAAGAGTTCTCAAAGATCCGTGTCAGGGGCTGAGCTATGATGCTTGCCAGCTCCTTGAGTACCCTTGGGTGTAAACTGTCAGGGCCAGCTGACTCGAAGGTATCCAGCCTGTCAAGGTGTTCCTTCACAAGGTCAGCTTCAATGGAGGGCAAGGAATCTCCCTCACCTGGGCTTCCCTGTCCCGCAGTGGGCAGGGGCGTACCATGGGACTGGTGAAAAACTGATGCAAAGTACCTATTAAGCCAGTTTGCTTTTTCATGGGCATCAGTTGTCAATTGTCCCATCTGGTTTAGCAGGGGTCCAACGTTGCCCTTGCTTTTCCTCTGGCTCCCCACATATCTAAAAAAGGACTTTTTATTGTCCTTCATATTTGTAGCTAGCTGGAGTTCCAACGCAGCCTTGGCTTTCCTGGTTTGCTCTCTGCAGGTCTGGACCAGAGCAGAACATTCCTCCTTGGTGGTGGTTCCAGTCCTCCATCCTTTGTAGGTCTTCCTTTTAAGACACAGGAGTTCCGTCAGTTCCCTGGAGACCCAAGGGTGCTGCTGTGACCTTTTGCTGTCTTTCCTCTGAGACGGGATGGACTTTGCTTGCGCATCCAGGATTACTTCCTTGAGGAGTAAGCACTCAACCTGAACTCCCCTCCCCTTTGGGTTGTGGCCCTTTAGGACCTCACTGACAAGCCTCCTTAGCTTGTCAAAGTCAGCTTTCCTGAAGTCAAGGACTTCTGTATTACTGACTGACTTGCCAGCTTCACGGCAGATGGTGAAGGTCATCAGCTCGTGGTCACTGTTATCCAGCTTCCCTTCAATCGTTAGGTCGCTGATTAGGTCATCCCCGGTTGCCAGTATGAGGTCGAGCAGCGTCTTACCTCTCGTCGGCCCATAGACTTCCTATGTCAGATAGAGGTCATCCACACATGAGAGAAAGTTTTGCAACCGCTCAGATTTGGCTGAGCGCTCCTCCCATGAGATGTCTTGGTAGTTAAAGTCTCCCATGACAAACATACACCGGGAGCGTGCAGCCTCAGCTAATTCCCTGGCAAACTCCTGGTCAAGGTCTTGACTCTGGGTAGGGGGTCTGTAGTAGACTCCCACCATAGTTATCCCCTGTGCCATGTTCCCCATGGATTTTAACCCAGAGGGTCTCAAGTTGCCCACTGTGGGTGCCAATGTCGGCTTGCAGGGATGCGTAGCTTTCCTTGACATAGAGATCTACACCTCTGCCCCTTTTGTCCACTCGATCCCACCTGTACAGGGTATAGCCATCTGT